TTCTGTAACTGTTAAGTGGTACAGCTGAGATTTGACCCAAATCTGTTGTCCTTAGAGCCTCATAGAGTGGTTTAGGGAAACGTAGTGGTGATAATGACAACAACAATAATAAAGGATAGTTATCCAATAAAATTCATCTGTCTTAGTATGGTACTCAAGGTCTCTCACAATGTGGCTTCAACCTACCTCTTCTGCCCCACTTACAGCCTGTCTAGCCACATGGTTTATCCTACTCCAGCTGAACTATTCAGTTCAGTTCAGTTCAGTCACTTAGTCATGTCCGACTCTTTGCGACCCCATGAATGCAACACGCCAGGCCTCCGTGTCCATCACCAGCTCCCGGAGTTTACTCAAACTTATGCCCATCGAGTCAGTGATGCCATCCAACCATCTCATCCTCGGTCGTCCCCTTCTCTTCCTGCCCCCAATCCCTCCCAGCATCAGGGCCTTTTCCAATGAGTCAATTCTTTGCATGAGGTGGCCAAAGTACTGGAGTTTCAGCTTCATCATCAGTCCTTCCAATGAACACCCAGGACTGATCTCCTTTATGATGAACTGGTTGGATCTCCTTGCAGTCCAATGGACTCTCAAGAGTCTTCTCCAACACCATAGAAAAGAAGTCCCCAGATGGGCATCTTTATGTGTGCCTCTGTCTGTGTCTGAGTGTCCTGTCTGTCCCTCCTCTATCTGATCTGACATAGACAGGTCTTTTCTTTAAAGCCTGGCTCCAGGGTTGCCACCTCTGTGTGGCTTTCCCTTCCCTCTCTCCCAAGACCCTGTGGGAAAACTTTTATTGCCGTTAGAGTGTTGTCTATCTTCTCCATTCCTCTGAGCACCCACCATCAAATTCAGACTATGCATTCTGGTGACATTTGTCTCTGAATCCCCAGTGATACCTAATAAGTGTTAAGTAATTATTAACAGACATTCATGCACAGCATTGGCTGCCCCAACACAGGCTGAGCTCCACCTCTGGAAAACTGGATCTGGCTACCCAGCCTCTAAGTTCCTGTTGTCATGAACACAGCAAAAAACCCTTGGCTAAGATCCGAATGGAAGTGCAGTGATTGCTGGGGAGTGGAGAGGTCTCCAATATTAGAGTTCTAGTCCAGAGCTACATCCCTATAGCAAGGCCCACGTGGTTGTTGAGCATCATGAAAGAGTAAAGGCTTTTCTTCTCAATGAGTTATTTCTGCCCGGGGCCAACTCAGCTCCAAGAGAACTGAGCTGGACTCCATTTCTGCCTTATGCTTAGGCATAATAAAATTCCTACAGTCTAATTTTAATACTGGTGATGCTACAAGAGGCAAGAAAAAAAATTAGCTGGATTATCCGTTTCCAAGAGCAACTCGCAGAGCTAGCATTTTAGACAGGGGGAAAACAAAAACCCTTTTAGTCTTGAACAGAACACATGCAATGTGGCCACAATTAGAAATAAACTAGACAACCCATATAAGTAGTTAAGCAATTGCTTTCTAAAATGATACCTGTACCTTGGAAAGCTATCAGTTTATCACCCATAAGGTAGGAACAGCCTCTGAGGAACGTACAGTGGGTAAAACTATAGGGACCCACCAGGCCCATCTAAAGAGAGACGAGTGGGAACTCAGAGTCCATCTTTCTAGTAACACTGCCATCTACTGAAACTTTCTGCTCCTTTCTCTGTCTCCCACATCTGCAATCCCGCAGTTAGTTTCATTTCAGCATTTTCTTGCGTGGGTCTCATTTCACATCTGATTTACTATTCTATTTGTTGCCGTGAGGTTTCCCACCCTCCCTTCCAGAAATTAATTACTGTAATTATCCAACTTTTAATAGCTGCTGATGTGGCATCTGCAGGACATTTTTGAGAAAATGCACCACTACATTTCATTTGCATATTTGAGAGACAGTGCGTGAGAATTAGAATTTTCCTAAATTACTTACTGTGACCTGAATAGAGAAAAAGTATCCTACCAAGTGGAAGTCTCATTTGCATACTTAATTTGGCCAATTACCATCGCAGGGTGAGAGAAAGTTCTTGCCCACACACTGATGTGACAACTCAGCGTGCTTACCGGGAACCCAGGCTCATCCACAGAGTCTTCCTATACTAGGAGACAGAAGGACAGGCCACTGTCTGCTCTGCATCACTTCATCAGTCATCCTCACGGTGGAGACTCGCAATAACATGTTTATCAGCAATCAGTTTGATTGCTAATCACCCAAACCACAGGCTTGGTTGCTCCCTTTGCAAGTGCCTTGCATGGTATGAAATACAGCTAAGGAGGCCAGACATCCTCACAGTGAGGCAAATGCCACTGGGAAAGTGAACAATGCCAATATGCATAACCTCAGATCAAGAGCTGCAGAGAGGAGAGGTTTATTCATCAAACACAACTTGACTTTGGGCCTGGAGTGAGTTTTAGATCTCCTCTCACCACCCCCATGATTTTAGGAAGCTGCACAACTTTCTTGAGCTTCAAGCACCTACAAACTGGGGAGAATTTCATGTACTTTAATGACTTGTTATGAATATTGATTAAATAATGTTCCTGGAACAGAGGTAACCCTCCCTGTTTTGTTAGTTTCCAACATGCTCCAGGCAGTCTCTGTCCTGAACACTAACGTAAAGAAAGTGAGGTCCTGGGCTCTAGATAACTAAATGACTCAAAGACATTTGGTTTAGGGCTCAGATAATTTTATCCATCAGTTAGATGTCTGAGGCAAGCGTGGTGGCTGGTCTTTAAAGATGCTCCCCAACAATTCCTCCTTTAAGACACACAAGCCACCCCTCACATCAGTAGAAGAGACATATGTCCTTTCCTGCTGTGTCCAAACTGAACTTGTGATTCACTTTGACCGACAGAATGCTATGGAAGCAATGCTGGCCTGTTCCGGGCAGGGGTCTCTGGAAGGCCTGGCAGCTTCTGTGTTTGCGCTTTGGGAACCCTGAGCTGCTGCTGCGTGACCTGCTAGAGAATCAGATGTAGGGATACAGGTAGAGGCCAGATGGAGAGAGCTACATGGAGGAGAAGTCAGAATCTTCCCAACAGCTTAAACGAAGGACAAGGCAAAGCTGGACCTACATCCCTGTGAACTCCCATTCTCCGACAGAAGCCACAGCTGTGCGGGAAAAGACCAGGAGCCCTGGCAGTAGGTAGGACCACATTTAACACCAGGTCCACCAACTCAGAATCGTTAAACAGCATGTATGTTGTCTGAGACTCAGTTTGCCACTGGATGAAGCTAGAACAATTATACTCCCCACTGTGGCACTAGCGGTAAAGACCCACCTGCCAATGCAGGAGAGATGCCGGTTCGATCCCTGGGTTGGGAAGATCTCCTGGAGGAGGGCATGGCAACCCACTCCAGTATTCTTGCTTGGAGAATCCTATAGACAGAGGAGCCTGGGGGGTTACATTCCATGGGGTCGCAGAGTCAGGCATGACTGAAGCCTTTATCAGGAGCAGTCAGGGAAAGGGGGTAACACTGGGCCTGCTACATGGTAGCTGCTCAAGTCAAGTCCTTTCCTTTCACCTGCTGCTAATTCAAATGTACGCTTTCCAGGGTTTCCTCAGCTTCCAGTTTCTTTCTCAGAACCTCTAGAGAATGTGTTTTACAAATTGCGAGCACTTCCTGAGAATCTGTCTTGTTCTGAGGCCCAACGCTCTTGCTCATGCAATCTTGGGCCATCGGTGCTCCTGGGTCAGGAGCTGAGAGATGCCTTGCCTTCCCCATCGTCCCGTTCCCTGAATCCTGTTCATCTCAGGGCCTTGAGTCTCTCTCGCAATAGGTCTCCTGACTCCTAGCTCTTCACACTTTCCCACAGACGCCACCTTAATTGGGCTACCACCACGTATCACCAGACTGTGGACAAGGCTCCCTAATTCCCCCAGGCCACCCTCCAGGCAACAAGAGAGATTATAATAGAAAAACCCGATGGCATACCCCTCCACTCGAGAGAGACTTCGTGTTGCCCATGGGATAAAACCTGCCCCTCGACAGGACTGCACCTTCCTCCGCCCACACCATCCGGCCCATGTTCAGTTCTCCTGCTCTCACCCCAGCTGCCTTCAGCAGGCTCATCCCCACCTGGATAATTTCTACTCATTTTTCAGGGCTCTGCTGAAATGTCACTGAGAGATGGCTCCCCTGACCTCTGCCCCTTCATCTAGTTCAGTTGCTCAGTCATGTCCGACCCTTTGCGATCCCACGGGCTGCAGCACGCCAGGCTTCCCTGTCCATCACCAACTCCCGGAGCTTGCTCAAACTCCTGTCCACTGAATCAGCGATGTCACCCAACCATCTCATCCTCTGTCATCCCCTTCTCCTCCTGCCTTCAATCTTCCCCAGCAACAGGGGCTTTTCAAATGAGTCAGTTCTTCTATCTTTAATTAGGTCTTCCCCCCACTTCCATTCCCATTATTCACGCTCAGCATCCCATTTTTCCCCCTTAATATCACTTGTGACAAATTTTAATTGTATCGTCATTTGTGAGCTTAGTTACTTAGTCTGTCTGCCCCACCACCACCTCCACACCATCAGTCCCCACCACAGATGCAGGCTCCTTGGACAGTGCTCAGTGCTCATGCCATTAGTCCTGCACATCCTACACAGCATTGAGCCAGGGTAATAGCCAGTATCCAAGTGATGAATTAATAAATGGGAATCAAAGGACTTCTGGTCCCACCATTGCCCAGTGCTATGTGCATCACTTATATTGGGCTTGCCTCATGAAGGTACATCATTTCATTCAATTTTTGCTTGGTTGTTGTTTTTACATGGTCACTTCATCAACAGAACAATCTGTTTTGAGTGGCAATGGAAGGGTGGGTAGCACTCAATCAAAGGTCTCAGAACCACTGATACTCCCCTGCAGGGACACTTCATGAGGGAGGCTCTGCTAATACAGAGGACTGGGGGCAAAGGCAAGAAAAGGGAAAGGGAGCCTCTGGCCAGAGGAGCCTAAAAGATCAGTCACGTGAAAAAGACAAGCCTGTGTGTTCATCAACAAGTACCTGAGGGTGATCTTCGTGGTACAAGCGAGGCAGCAGCCTCACCATGATGCACAGGACCCCAGGGTGCATGATCACAGCATCACTGTCATCTGTCCTGCTGAGAGAGGGAAGCAGGACATCAGAAATCATTTCTGGATCTCTCTAAGACAGGCCATTTGCAGCCTACCATTTATTATCTATACGCTATGTTGTGCTGTGCTTAGGTGCTCAGTAGTGTCCAACTCTTTGCGACCCCATGGACTTTCACCCACCAAGCTACTCTGTCCTTGGGGATTCTCCAGGCAAGAATACTGGAGTAGGTTTCCATGCCCTCCTCCAGGGGATCTTTGGAACCCAGGGATCAAACCCAGGTCTTCTGCATTGTAGGCTGATTCTTTACCATCTGAGCCACCAGGAAAGCCCAAGAATACTGGAGTGGGTAGCCTATACCTTCTCCAGGGGATCTTCCCGACCCAGGAATCAAACCAGGGTCTCCTGCATTCTAGGTGGATTCCTTACCAGCTGAGCTACCAGGGAAGCCTATCTATATGACCTTGAACTAATTAATCTGAGCCTAACTCCCCCTAACTGTACAAGAGCTGTGCAACACCATACTTTCTGCATAGAGTCATAGAACAATGCCATTGTACGCTAAGGCACAGCGCCCAGCACAGAGCTGATGTTCAATGGAAGTTAGTTTCCTGGACCCCTATCCTCTCTCCACATGGGTGGGAAATGGAGAAGCTTTCATTCTTTATTAAACACACACACACACAGAGCATTTCTGGCTTCCTTCAAGATGGTGTAAGCACTGTCCCACCCACTGAATGCAACTTAAAACCCACATAGAAAGCATGAGCAGCTCTCCAAGGACTGAAAAGTAAACCGCAGCAGAGAAGGAAACCAAACCGAAAGCATCATGCAACCAGTAACACATTTCCTGGGGCTTCCCCATCCAGCATCCTCTGGAATGGGTTTATAGGGAGTAGTAACTGTGTAGCAAGTGTGGACAGGACAGACTGAGCTTTAAGAGAAGGCTCTATATCTGGTCTAAGGCATGGGAAAGGAGGCTTCCTCAGCAGGTCACAGAGCATGGAGGGGAATCCCTGGAATTTTCTTTGTTGGACTTCTCCATCGATTCTTTCTCACCTATCCCTCGAGAAATCTCACAGCAGCAGCAGCAGTCAGACTGGTATCTGAAATTCTTGGGGAGGGGAACCCTCCTCTCTGACCAGAGGAGTTCTGGTCCCAAGAGTCAGGCACAAATCTCCATTGCTTTTATCTCTCTATTTCCTCTCCCGGCTTGGCTCCAGAGACAGTTGCAGTGGTGGGAAGTGTGTGGCAGAGCAGATAAATTAAAGCTCTAGCTTTCTAGACAGAGGAGTAAGGAAGGGACACCAGGGAGCCCGAAAGTGTTGGGAAAATGATGAAGAAGAAGAGACTTAAGAAAGTGAAATCATTAGGTTGTGCATCAACCTCTGGGTTCAATTCTGAGCTGCACATGAGTGGATCTGACCCTAAACCACATTCCAAAGATTTTCAGAACTGAACTCAGGAATAAACTACCACCCAAGACTGGCATGGGACAATAAAAGGTACATCAACCTGCCCAGTAAAATCTTTGAAAACCAGACTGATACTGGACACATGGTCCAAGAAAGGTGGATAAGAATTTGCAGCTTGAACCTCATTGGATCAGTTGCCTGTTAAAACAAAATAATCAACATCCTCCAGAAGCTGACAATGAGGGCCAGAATTCATAACATTAAAAATGTCCAGGATATAATCTGAAGTTACTCGGCTTAGAACGAAGGAAGGAAATCGCAATATTTCACATGGAAAAAGATAACAGATGTCAAGTTGGAGATGACACAGTGGTTGGAATTATCAGAAAACAGCAAAAATCAGTGAAACCATAAATTGAAAAACAATAGAGGAAAAATGAAGTAAAGATCTAGTTATTTGAAAAAGTTTTAAAAATTGAAAAACCACCAACTAAGTTAGTAAAGAAGGAAAAAAGACACAAATAACCAATATTAGAAATGAAAGAGAGACTACCATTACATACCCCGCAGGCATTAAAAGGATAAGAAAACATCACAAATAACTCTGTGCACACAAATTTGACAACTTAGATAAAACAGACCAATCCCGTCAAAGCTACAAAGTAACAAAAGTAAGCAAGAAGAAATAAACAGAACAGTTTTACAACTATTACAAAAACTGAATATGTAGTTTAAAACCTTTCCACGAAGAAAACTACAGGCCCAGATGTTTGCACTGGTGAATTTTACCATACATTTAAAAGATAAATAATACCAATTCTATACAGCTTCCTTCAAAATATACAAGAGAACACTTTTAAATGCATTTTATGAGGCCAGTATGACTCTGATATCAAAAGTAGACAAAGCCAGTACAAGAAAAGAAAACTACCTGCCAATGTCACTTATAAAAATAGGTGAAAATTCTCAACAAACTATTGCAAAAACAAATATAACCATACATAAAATAAATAAGGCATTGTGGCCAATCTGCCTTAACCTGCAAGACTGGTTCACTGGTCAAAAATGAGCCAATATAATCTATTATATTATTAAATTAAAGAAGAAAAATATGATCATATGCAGAAAAAACGTTTAAGAAATTCAACATCTGTTCATGATTTTTATTTATTTATTTATTTTTCATTTATTTTTATTATTTGGAGGCTAATTACTTCACAATATTGTAGTGGTTTTCTCTTGGTAAATAGGCATAGAAGGAATCATCCATAACTTGACAATGTACATCTACCAAAGAAACTTAGCTAATAGAATAGTTGATGACGAAAGACTGAAGGCCTTCTCTTCAAGTTTAAAGACAAGGCAAGGATGTCCTCTCTCACCATTCCTATGCAACATCATGCTGAAACAACAGATTGGAAAGGAAGGTATAAAATTGTCACTATTCACCGACGGTATGATTGTCATATAGAAAAAAAATCCCAAGCAATCTATTTTAAAAAAAATAATAAAAGCTCCTAGAAAAAATAAATGAATTAGCATGGATGCACAGTGACACACAGAAATTGATCACATTCCTATACACTAGAAGTAAACAATTGGGATACAAAACATTTAAAATATCATTTAAAACCATACTCCCAAAACATAAGAGTAAATCTAATTTTAAAAATGTGCTTGCTCTGTATGCTGAATACTATAGACCTTGATTTAAAAAAAAAAAATCATAGATTTATATAAATGGAAAAACAGTCTATGTTTATGGATTAGAACACTCAATGTAGTTAAGGTCTTAATCCTCTCAAAATTCATCTATAGATGCTTTTTAATACAATTCCAATCAGAATCCCAGCAGGAATTTTGTAGGCATAGGCAAACCAATCATTAAATTTCAATCTGTGAAAGACACTTTAAAAATGAAATGAGAAGTTATAGACTGGGAGAAAATATTTTCATCCATACAGTGGAATACTACTCAGTAATAAAAATGTAAGAACTACTGATACAACAAACTGGATAGATCTCAAAGGCCTTGTGCTGAGTTTAAAAAGCTGGCTTCAAAAGACTACACAGTTGTGCTTGTGCTTATATGTTATTCTGAAAAAGACGAAACTAAGGGAATAGATCAGTGGTTGCATGGGGTTAGGGGTTGGGAAAGGGTTTCATTACGAAGGGACAACATTCAGAACTATTTGAAGGGGTGGGACTGTTTGTTTTGTATCCTGAATGTGGTGGCAGTCACATGACACTACACATGACTTAAGACCCATAGAACTCTACACCAAGAAAAAGGCTTTAACCGCATGTTAATTGGGAAAAATAGCAATAAGAAGAAAAACAAAGGAAAAAAAAATCACAAGACTAATCCTGAATCACAAACACTTGATTTTCAAACATCTTGCCTCTAGCATTGCTTTTACAACCTACAATGATATTGTTTTTGGCACTACCAGCCCTGAAAAATGTCTAAGGTGACAGGAGTGCTTCTAACACTTGGTGTTAATTTATCCAGTTCAGTATTGAACAAATATTTGTTGACCTACATATCTTCCTGGCATGCTGGATACATCTATAAGCTAAACAAAGCAAAATCCATACCTGATAAGTGAGAAGAAGGGTATAGACAATAAAGATAAACATAATAAATAGGTAAATTACAGATAATAAAAATTACTACTGTTATATAAGTTATACTATAAATAGCATTGTAAAACATAAATACATGTCATATATTATTATATAGTATATTTAATAATGTAATAGAATAATAAAAAAGAAATTACATATTATGAAGAAAGATGATAAATGTTATATAAAAAACAGAAAAGAGAAAGAATTTAGAACATTGTGAGAGGGAAAAAATTTACAATTTTAACTTGGGTAGTAGAATTGGCTTCTTTGAAAAGGTAACATTTGGATGGATTTGACAAAGGGGATGCAGATATCCAGAGGAATAGCATTTCAAGCAAAGAGTATAGCCAATGCAAAAGTCCACAAAGTGGGGGTATGTCTGACCTGTTCGAGGAGCAGCAAGGAAGCCCGCATTATTCCTCTGATACTAAAGCCACACAAAGAAAAGAAAATTACAGACCAATATCCCTCATTAATATACGTGCAAAAAACCCTCAACAAAAAACTAACAAAACAAATCCAACAGCCTAGGATTATATAACATGATATAGTGGGATTGATCCCAGGAAAGCAAGAGTGGTTCAACATTAAACAATCAGTGCAGTACACCACATTAATAAACAAGGGGAAAAAATGATCATCTCAAATGATACAGAAAAAACATTTGACTATATTCAATACCCTTTCATGATTTAAAAAAACACTTGACCCAATATCCTGTCCACCTTCTCTAGACCCACACTGTGGATTGGCTGGCCTAGAAGCACGTCATCCATCCCAGGTAGAAGGACCTGGTAAATACCAGAGAAGATCAGCATGATTAATCACCATGGCAGCTGCCATTTATTGAGCTCTACTGTGGTGTGTGGTGTTGTGTGTTTGTGTGTGTGTGTCATGCATGCTGTGAGGGGGGTGGTGGGTGTGTTTCATGGGTACTATATATTCTGTATTTTGTAAGTCACAGTATATATTTGGTATT